TGTAAAATGCAGTATGAGATTAAGAATAAAAAGGAATTTTGTAATTATTTATTTTATAATACAAGCATTCATACAATAACATAAAAATAAATATTATTAATTATATTATATAATAATATATATTATAGTCTTTTATTTTACATTAGACTAATAAAAATTTTATTAACTGTAAAATGTGACACTTCTTATAGGAATTTAAATGTAATTTGAGTTACGAGAAGATTGTAAGAAAGTGCTAAAAACTGACTAGAAGCTAAGTGATATAAACTTTATAATTTAGTTATCTATAACGATCAGATTTATTTTTAATCAAATCATTATGTCAAAAAAAAATCAGTTATAAATCTATTTTTATCCTGAAGTTCTTTGAATAAGAGGATAATCAAATAAAAATGAATCTGATATTTTATTATAATATATTTGCTATAAATTATTATAAACTTCCTACACCTGTAAAATAGTTAAAACTAACTATTCTGATTTGAATCTTATAGTTATACAAGTGTTAAACAATCTGTAATATAGGTATATTAGTAAAATGCTAGAAATATAGTATTTCATATTTATTATCTATTTAAAAAACTTTTTGAATATAATCTAAAATACTTTTTTAAGAATAGATTTATTAAATGATTAAAAGAGTATATATTAATGAGGAATTTAAAACTAGAAGGTGTTTATTTTATATTTATTACACTGTATATAACTTTTTGCTATTTATTCATAAAAATACCATCAAATATGCAAATAATTACTTAAATAAATGCATTGCTAAAATGATCAAAAAGTGTATTATATATTCTAATTTTATACAAAAAAATGCAAAAAAGAAAGAAAAGTATTAACACTTAACTTTGATGAAGTTGATGAGATTTTTATGAATTATTCTGTATATACATAGTATAGTTATCATAAATATAATATCGATTGTATTTAGAGAGAAATTTGTTTATTTCATATTTAACAGTATAAAAGTTATTCAACAGACTTAAAGAATTTTCAAATTGAGATCTGAGACATAGGCAAAATAAATTTAAAATATAATGGTATTTCTAATAATAAAAATTTTTTAGATATAACTCTTTATAATATAAGAGTTCCTGATGATTAATATATGAGAAGTTTACTAGAAAAATAGGACTCTGAGACATTTTTACCAAAATTAAAATTTTTGCTTTATATTAATCTATAATATAATAACTTTAATTGGTTAAAGTTTTAAAGTACTTTAACTTAATATTAAAATGAATAATTTTTTTTTTATATAATAATCTAAAAATAAATTTGAAAATAATAAATATAATTAATATACTATTTAGAAATGATTAACATAATTTAATATTTTATATTATATTATATAATAAAATGGTAAGTTAATTGCTACAGAAGCAGTTCTGATTATAAATTTTTCATTAGAATTATTATAAGAAAATTAGAATAGTAGACTTATTTTTATTAGATTTAAAAAAATTGTTAAATTTATTTATAGGGATATAAAGACAGTTAGACTTATTTTTATTAAACTTAAGTGATTAATATATATTTATAATAAGCTAGCTTGTATAGAATTAATTTCTGATATATAATTTTTTGTTAGATTATCAAATATAACTAAAAAATTAATATAGAAATTAAGAATCTAAAATTTTTAGAAGTTTTTTTAGTATAGTAAAAAATCGATATAGAAATTAAGATTTAAAAATAGCTAAAAGCTTAAAAATAAAAAATAGAAATAAAGATTCTAGAGCTTTTAGAAGTATTTCTAATATAATAGAAAAATTAATATTGATTTTAACATTCTAAAATCTTCATATATAATATAGGGGATTTTATTTCAAAATCTACATTTTCACATTATGTGATACAGCTTGTAAAATTTACTGATTCTAAAAGTAATCAATGATTTTAATTATTATATAAATGATATTATTATTATTGATTATTTAAATAGTTATTACTTAATACTATTAATGTATAATCCTTATGAATTGTGACAATTATATAAGATGTTAAGAATTATTTCTTTTTTAAATCTATATAGTAAAATATATGATTTATATTAAATAAAGTTTAATTTAAATATAAATATTTATATACAATCGTTTATTATTAAAGTATTATATAATTAATAATTTACGATAAATTATTTATTAATAAAATATAAGAAAATTTAAGAAAAAAAATATGAAATAATGAAATAAATAAGAAAAATTAAAATTAATTAACAAAAAGTAAAATGTGATTAATGAAACTAAGTATTATTTAATAGCTTAAGTGTATGCAAATTACTAAGAAAAATTTTATTAAGTGAATTTGAATTTAGATCTACCTGAAAAGTTTAAATAATTTAGTCCTATATATATATTTTAAAATAGATAGAATAATATATTAATTATTTTAGTTTTTTCAATTAGATTAACAATTTAACCTATTTAATTATTTTAATTAAATTAACTAAGTTAAATATATCAAATATATTAAATATGTTAAGTATATCTGATATGTTGATTATATCAACCATATTAATTATGTAATTATTTAGGTTACATTAGTCATATTTTGATAATTAAATTACAATTAACTATCTGTCAGACTTGATTATCTTTATTTTTTTGATTGATAGATATATCTATCATAAATTTTTATTTAATTTATAAAAAATGAAAGATCACAAAAGTTTTGGGTTAGATTTAATTTATAATTTAATAAAGATAATAATAATAATTTTTTTAAAAAATTACTTGTAATAACAATAACAGATAAGTAATTAATTAATATAAATAAAAATAGGTTCAAAAATTTTAAGTCTTTAATTCATTTGAATTACCAATATATAGATTAGTAGGGATTAATTATTATATAGAATATAGAGATAATAGAAAGGCTCTGTAGTATCAGTATCAGCAAAAAAAAATTTAGAATCAACTTTACAGAATCCTTCTCAATCAAATTATTAGTATAACAGATATAATGTTTTATTATGTTATAATAAAAATTGCTAAACATGTTTCAAAGAATTTCATACTTTCGTTGAAAGTAAGTAAAATTGGTTACATATTAAACTTAAAAATTGTACTAACAAATTTGAAAATAATAATAATAAAATGTATGTAATTTTAATAACTTTATAAACTTCTCTTAAAGTATAAATAGCTAAATTTTTATTTTGTAAGAAATTTGTTATCTTAAAAGGAAAATTTTATAATTTTTAAATTCATAAATAATTGAATTACTTTAGCTATAGATATAAATAATAATATTATAAATTTATATTATTTTTAATTAAGACAATTTTAATTTTATTTAGTAAAGTAATTCATATCTGTAATTCCAGCCAATTTCAATTTCAGCCTTTTTTGGAAAGGCGAAATTAATTTTAGTTTTATTAGTTTAAACTATTTGAAATTGAAACTGCAAAAAAAATTAATAAAAAGATAAAAAGAGATTACTAAAGGAATTAAAGATGTCAAGCACAGGTCTTAAAAAATAATTGAAATATGATCTGGGTTTATTCAGATTGATCAATTATAAATATCTGACCGTTATAAAACTTATTTCCGTTCGAAATTAAATATTCAAATGTATCAGACGATTCTTAATTCAAGAATTGAAAGCGAAATCAAAAACTAAGTTCAAAAATTCAAATATCTTATTTTCAAATGGACTTAATAACAACGTACAATTAACTTTCAACCAGATTAAAACACGGGTACATAATCTAGGGTGTTTAAATCATAAAATCATTAAAATCATTAATGCTTCGATTTTGAATGCTAAGATTTATTCATTGAATAGAAAATTCATGAATCCACGTAAATTTTTCAATCAAAATATACTCTATATAGATTTTATAATATAACAATAAGACTTTTATTTAATTAATTAATCAAATGTCACGTATTTACCATAATTAAATGAATCCGATCTGTAAAATAATTTTATTATAATTAAGAAGTGAGAATAATGTATAAACGATAAAGAGGTGTAATTTGACAATCGAAAATCAAAGTAAACCTTATTTGCAACATCCAATGCTTCTACATCAGGTGTAAGACGAACATAAGCTTTCTTGGTTCCGTTTGGTCTAATGAGGAAAAAAACATCAGTTGATGTTCATTTGAATCGTAAACGTGTGAAGAGTCTGTGGGACTATACCTTATCAGTGTATTAATCTTTTGAGCATCAACATCATACAGTTTCTTCACTGCTTCCTTGATTTGACGCTTATTAGCTTGGGTATCAACAATGAAAACAAGTGTATTTGTATCCTCAATTTTCTTCATTGCAGATTCGGTGTTTAAAGGGTTTTTTAGAATTTTGTAATGATCAAGACGACGTGCATGTGGAATAGATTTGCGTGGATATTTAGGTGATCGCGCTAAACGCAAAGTCCTTGGACGATGGAAGGTCGTGGAATAACGGGGCTTCTTTTTTTCCTTACTAATAACCCCTTTCGTAACAGCTTTCTTAGCTGAAAGTGCCTTGGCTTTTTCCTTAGTTTTACCCTTGGATTTATTGTCCTTGGATTTATTGTCCTTAGACTTATTGTCCTTGGGCTTATCTTTGGAAGTACCTTCTTGTGCTGCGGCGGTCTTTTTAGGTTTATCGGCTATATTATAATTAATTAAACGGAATAATTTAATTCACGAAAATTCAAAAAAAAAATATGTATATATATAGGATAAAAAATAAAAATCATCATCCATTCTTCCTCTAAACAGTATATCTCTTATATTCAATGATGCATTTGATTTTTTCGTTGATAGTTTAAATTAATTAAAAGACTTGCCTGGTTTCTTTGGAGCCATTTCAAAAAAATTTACCGTCGGAAAAGGAAGAATTTGATTTTTATTTAATAATATAATTTATATCAAAAAATCTCTTATTGCAATGAGATTAACCAATTAAAATAATGATATCAGGAGTATTTTTGTCACACCATTCTGATCTCAATAGGATCGCGTTTTTTATCTCTAATTTCTTTATTCGTGTGGCTAATAATGACCTCTCTTCAAGGACCAAACAATTTTGCTGATGACGGTAGCGCCATTATAGAGCGCGTACTTAAAGTGAAAAGTAAAAGATTGGCGGATTCCGATAAGCAACTAGAGGAAATTTATGAAATCGACAGAACCGTGAAAGCATTAATTGACGGTGGGTTTGATAAGGTAAATTATAAAGTTTTTTCTTTTTTTTCGAAACCCATGCGCGCCTGTTACCTTTTAATAATGCTGTAGCATTATTTTTATATAAAGGTTGCACTGCAGTTTCCTGATGAATTACTGGCAGATTCCGTTAAAATTGCTACAATTTTAAGAGAGAAAGTCAAGAAAAAGATTTTTATTCTGGCAGATACTTCATATGGAAGGTAAATTAACGTGGAAAATTTTAATTAATTGGCTTTCATTCTTATTATATATATAAAAAGCTGTTGTGTAGATGAAATAGCAGCTCAACATGTCGACGCAGAATGTATTATTCATTATGGCCGTTCATGTCTAAGCCCGTAAGAATCAAATTTGTTTTGTTTCCTTTTTCATACATTATACTGTGAACAATAATACAACTTTACATTTTGATAGTACTTCGCGACTTCCCGTAATATACGTGTTTGGAAAACAACCTATCGTTTTAGTTCATTGTTTAGAATCATTTGATGAATTTTTTAAACTGGACAAGAATCAACCATTACTTATTATGTATGATGTCGTTTACTCATATTGCATAAGTAAGAAAATTTTTTTAGCAATAATATTTTTTTTTTTAAAAAAAATACACTTATTTATTGTTGTTGTTGTATGTTCATAGATGATTTCGTCCTTGAATTGCGAAATGAAAAAAATTATACAAATATTATCCAGTCCTTTGTTATGTTAGAATTTAATTTTTTAAAAGGTAAGATGAAATAAAATTTCTAAAGTTGACACATTTTTAGAGGCCGCGGTGTCAATTCTTCTTGATTTGACGTGTTTTCAATGTTTTCAATGTTTTCATTAATTATTTAATAATTTTATTGTAGATACTCCAGTTTCAAACCATTTAGGAAGGCATTATTCATTACCTGAAAACATTTCAATTGAAAATTGTTCGATATTTTATATAGGTGGTGAAAGCTTAACTTTAACTAATATATTAATGACATATAACAAGTGCAAGGTAAATCTTAAAGAAATATATATTAGAAGCCAAGAAATAATAATAATTATTTTTTGAATTTTGAAGGTTTTTTCATATAATCCGGAAACACAGATAGGGAGGCAAGAGAGCATACATGTGAATAAAGCTTTAATGAGACGGTATTGTTCATTATGATATTTACATATTTTCGCAGTTTTCAGGTATGTACAATCTCTCAAAATTGATCTGTAAAAAGTATCACAGCGACTACAATTTATCAAATTTCTGCGTAATGATCTGATCAATGATTTGTAAAGTCTATTTGACTCGTAAATTGTAATCGCTGTAATCTGATTTTTTTACTGCAAGTCAATGTTTGTAAGGGACGTGCATTTCTGAAAACTGCGATAAAATAATAATATGTTTATTAATTTCCAATATGCATATATTTTTTAGTTATTATATGATACAAAAAGCAAAGGATGCTGATGTTATTGGAATAGTTGTGGGAACTTTGGGCGTTGGTGATTTTTACGTTATGATAGTTAATATAGATAATTTATATTCAAATTTAAATATTTAATCGATTTTTTAAAATTAGCATCTTATTTAACAATAATATCACATCTCAAAAAATTAATCATCCGTGCTGGCAAAAAACCATATACATTTGTCATGGGTAAACTTAACGTTGCAAAAATGGCGAATTTTATGGAAATCGAGTGTTTTGTACTTGTGGCTTGTCCTGAAAATAGCTTGATTGATTCAAAGGTAATTTTTCTTTTTTTTTTTTTTTTATAAAAAGTTAAGATTTTATTTTTATATTTGTTCACATTTTATGATTTCGTTAGGAATTTTATCGTCCGATTGTGACTCCTTTTGAGTTAGAGATAGCTTTGGATCCGTAAGTTTTAAATAAGTAATGTATCATTCACTTCACTAGGATTTCTTTTTATATTTATATATATATATAGATCAAAGCAATGGACGGGAGAATATATCACGGATTTTCAACTCTTGTTATCTAGAATTGGTAAGTTAGAGAATCGTCGTCAATTTATAAGTACATTTTTAACACGATTTTATTTTATGCTAGGTTCAAACACCGAAGAACTCGAAAAGGTGCTTAATAATTTATTTTGGGGCAAATATGAGAGGAAGAAATAATTATAATACAAAAAAAAATAATATTGTTTAATAACAGTCCGTATTAGATGATGATGATGATGAACCACATTTCTCTTTAATTACTGGAAAATACAAACAAGGTCGAAAATATGCCGTTAAAAACACATCTGGTATTCTTCATTTTGTATTGTTTCATTTTTTCATTTTGCGATACGACATGTGCTAATGATGGATGTCACGTGATAACATGTCACAGTTGAAAACGTTACAGACAGTATCAAAGATTTAACATTACGCAATCAAAATACATCGGTATCAAATTTACTGAACAGTGCAGCAGGTGAGAATTAATCAATTGATGAATGATTCGGGTGTATTTTATTAAACCTTTTTGAAATTATAGGAGATTATCTTAAATCAAGGACATTTCGAGGACTAGAACAACAAATCGGAGAAACAGAAATACGATTAGCCGAAGAGGGTCGATCTGGCATTGCTAAAGGTTATGCGAATGAAGAAACTTAAAGAAATAATTTAGAGATATTTTTGAGAATTCCTTGAATATCATTTGATGTTGAATCATAAATTGCCATAATTGTCATTTGTCCTACATTATATAAGAAATTATTGAATTGGAACTTGGAAAAAAATTTTGTAATATCAAAGGTTCAGATGTTGTAATAATAAAGGTATTTAAAATTTATATGTCAACTTTCAAAATCAGATAATCCGATAGATGTTTGTATAACTTCGCATGACACATGCATCAAAATTTTAAAAAGGACTATCCTAATTTGGCAAATAAATATGATTGGTTCAGTATGGCACATGCATGAGTGATACAAAGTTATCAAAGGTAACATACACCCTAAGCTACACAATAATACTCCACAAAGTAACCCCAACAATGTTCTTTTTTGAATCCCTTCATTCAAAAAATGAGAGATAGCTAAAATGTATTATTTTAGAAAAGTATAATTCCATGAAACCAATCAAATTTATGGGGAAATTAGCACAAGACACCTCTGCCCCTTTTTAACGTCTATCTCGAAACCCTACTTTTTTTTTTAATACAAATTGTTGGACGAACATTAATATGGTAAATGATATCACAATGTTCAAATTGGGGTTGAGGCTTCCCGTCGTGTCCCCATCTGTGTTCAAAAATTCACTGCGGAGATTTGGGAATGCCACACTAAATTAGTATACCATTAATTATTACTTATGCCGCAACGGGATGCCGCCAATATTATTTTACATTTAGAAACTCTAGGTCAAAATCTTGCATCACTCATAACAAGGTTGCACTACAGTACTACTCAAGAGTCTAATAGCAAGGCGATAAATTTTTTTTTTTTTTCCTCGTATCTTGTCAAACGGTAATATATTCGTCGTTGCTTCGGCCTCAAAGTATTTTCCCTTTCACCATCGCCGCATCTGCTAGTCTTGCCTAAAACCTATTCTTACCAAAAATAAAGTGAACTCCTTTGCTCCTACTTACCAACACACAACCTAATAAAGATGTCTACTGCTAACGTAAGTTTTTGAATGTTTAACTGTACTGCGCGTTATTTGAATTCGGTAAAAAAGAAGTTCGAAAGTGATCGCTTTTTGGATATTAGATTATTATTTAGTTAGACCTTTTTAGTATTTAGATATGTTAACCTTAGTTCTTTAGTTGGTTTCTTATTTGTTGTATTGTTGTATATATTTGTTGTATTATCTAAACACGAACTTTATTTTTATTTTTATTTTTTCCTTTTAGGAACGCGAAAACCAGGTATTTGACCGCGTAAAGCTATAATATTATAAATTATTTTACTTTTGTTTTATTATCTTGTCTGAGAAAGTGTGACAAAAAATTATTCCGTTTTTTTTCACTTGATGTTGACCTCTAATAAAAAGGTTTATATGGCCAAGCTCGCCGAGCAAGCCGAACGTTATGATGGTAATAAAAATTTATTGTGAATTTGAATGCGTTTCTTCTTTTTTGTTCTATTTATGGCTAAAGTTATGATATCTCTAATCGAATCTGATTGATCAGAAATGGTATCTTACATGAAGGTATTTGTCCCAATCAATTCATGATCCTATCCTTTTCTTTTTCTTTTTTTTTTTTTTTTTTTAAAAAAAAAAAATTGATTAATATTTAAATATTATTAAATTATTATTATTAAATTGTAGGATGTTGCCAAGGTATATATACATTAAATTTCTGTAATGCGTTATAATGATCAATCCAACTTATTCTTTACATTGAATTGATTCATAAAATCATCTGCATCGAACTTTGTTGACGATATATAATCATTAGCTCGGAGTAGAGCTCACTGTGGAGGAACGTAATCTTCTCTCGGTCGCATATAAGAATGTGATTGGTGCCCGCCGAGCGTCTTGGAGAATTATTTCATCTATCGAACAAAAGGAAGAAAACAAAGGTAACGAAACTCAAGTTCAGAAGATCAAAGCTTACCGTCAGAAAGTCGAAACCGAGCTCTCAGAAGTCTGTTCGGATATCCTTGCCGTATTGGATGAACATTTGATTCCATCTGCCGAAGCTGGTGAATCCAAGGTTTTCTATTATAAAATGTATGTTAATTTACAATAACTCCTCCTCAATAAGAATGGTACAAGTTATGTGGGGAGGAGAAAGGAATGTTTGTTGCCAATCTATGGTATACGGCTTCCGTGACGAAATTAGGTTGAATCTCGAGCAATTTAACTTTACCATTTTGGATGCTCTGATTAATTTTTTTTTTTTTTTTTTTTTTTGTTCACTTAATCTTATATTACAGGAAGGGTGATTATCACCGATACCTTGCCGAATTTGCCTCGGGTGAAAGACGAAAAGAAGCTGCCACTCAGGCTCATGAAGCCTATAAACACGCAACTGACATCGCCCAGACCGACCTTGCTCCAACTCATCCTATTCGTCTCGGACTTGCATTAAACTTTTCAGTATTCTACTACGAAATTCTCAATTCACCTGATCGCGCTTGTCATCTTGCCAAGCAAGCATTTGATGATGCCATTGCTGAACTCGATACTCTAAGTGAAGAATCTTATAAAGATAGTACATTGATCATGCAATTACTCAGAGACAACTTGACCCTCTGGACTTCAGACTTGCAAGATGGTGAGTAAATTTAGGTTTAAGTTAGAAAATAAAAAAATAAAAATTTTGTACGAACTCATTCTTTTGCTTTTTTCTTAACTTTATAAAAATTTATAGCAGAGGGTGAGAAACAAGATGAACCTAGTAGTAATAAACAAGATGTCGAAGCCGAAGAATCAAAGTAGCAATAATTAGTTAATTATATATATTTTTTCACACTTCATATATAAAATCAGTTTTCCCTCATATTTACATAAGCGTGATCAAAGTTTTTTTTTTTTATTTTTTTTTTTTCTTCGTTGGTTTATTGCAAGTTCATTTTCCTCTGTGTTTGGTTCTTTTTTATGGTTTACATTTGGGAATTCCTTTCGGTCGTTTTGTTTGTTCACAGGTGTGGTGTGTTGGTATATAACTTAAAGGAGTCCCTTTTATTGGTGAAAATTTCATCTCTTCCTTAACATTTCCCATTTTTATTATATAATACAATACTACCTTTATATTAAATACAAGAAAAAAAAAAACAAAAAAAAAAAAACACACACGGAATCCATTGTTAATATAACGAAAACTTTATTTATCGATTAAAATGTTCTTTTAATGTAAATTGAAGTGTGTGAAATTTTGATTAATGATTTATTTGTCGTCACACTTTTTGTCACGTAAACTATATTTATAAATCAAAAGGTTAGAAAACAACTTTGGGAATAAAAAATTGCTCGTATTAATAATTATAATAAAAACAATAATTTTTTAATTTTACCCAAAAATTTAATAATGCCAGTCATCAAATTACACGTCTCATTTTAAAATTGTGTGACGTACTCGAGGCTTATTCAAAAAATACCCGTTTTACGATAAAATAAATATAGTCATTTTTTATTTTTTTGAACGTAAAAAAAAGGTTTTTGATCATTCGGCGCGGTAATCTTTCTACAGTTTAACTTTTTTTGTTTCTTTTTATAATGGTACGTGTTCAACTTACATTTACGCGTCAGAATCTATAATGTTATAATGACCTTTTATTTAATTAAAGGGATCACGAGCTAATTTATTATCAGGTGCTGCTCCATTTGCTGGTACAGGATCTTTAGAGCCAGATGTAGAAACTGCTCAAGAAACAAATGCAAGGGGTAACATGACACCTCAAAATGTACAAACCCAGTCTAATACTCCAAATCCTAGCATTTGGGAACAATCCAGGTAGATTTTAAAGAATTAAGAATACCTTAGATCTTTCGTTCTTCTTATTGAAATATTGATATAATTTATTTTTAAATATGTTTTTATTCAGTCATCCTGTAGCCTTAGCATTTCATTTATTATTCCGTACAGGAGCTTTAATTGTATACTTATTTGGTTCCCTTTTTTCTGATAATTTTCCTTTAATTTTCATCATTTGTGTCCTATTATTATCATTTGATTTTTGGACTGTTAAAAATGTGACCGGTAGATTACTAGTAGGATTAAGGTGGTGGAATGATATTCAACAAGATGGAACAAATGTTTGGATGTTTGAAAGTAGAGATGTATGTGTTTTCTCTCTCTCTCTCTCTCTCTCTCTCTCTCTTTTTTTTTTGATTTAAATACTTTGAAAGGTTAATTTTTTAAACTTAATTAACTCCCCCCTCCCCCCTTAGCCTTCAAGACCTGTGAATCCTGTTGATTCACGTATATTTTGGATTTCACTTTACGTTACAATAGTTTTATGGTTAATTTTAGCTTTCTTTAATTTATTCAGTCCAGAATGGCTTTTAATTATAATCGTTGCCATAGCCTTAAACGCTGCTAATGTTATTGGTTACACTCAGTGTGATAAAGATGCAAAGAAAAAATGGGCGACAGGTTTTGCGGCTAGAGCGGCTACATCAAGTCCAAGTATGGTTGGAAGATTGTTTTCAGCTGGAATTGGTAGATTTTTTTAAATAGTAACAGTTAAAAAAAATATATATATATATATATTTATAATAATTTTTTTTTTTTTTTTTTTTTATAAAAAAAAACATTAAAAAAACAAAAAAAAATTAAAAAAATTATTTTCAATCGAGAATAGATATTTTAGATGATATATATATATATATATATATATAATAATAATAATATAATTATTGTAAAATTTTTTAAAATTAGATCACTTTATTTTATTTTATCGATTTACTTATAAAAAATTATATGATCCTTTGTGCACATAAAGTTTGAAATTAAAAAAGTTTTTTTTTTTTTATTTACTAAAAAAGTGTCATACTGATGATTCATACCTTGATCATCATACAATGTAAAATAAGTTAACCGATTGATATATAATATTATGAATTAAAAGAGAAATTAAGCATTTACTTACCACTGTACCAGAAGAAGAAGCGATACGTGGCCAAAGGTCAGCACATTCTTTTCCTACCGGGCCAGTAATAGCAGAGCCTTTCATTTCCCCCTTGGGGTTCACAATCACCCCGGCATTATCTAAAGAATTATGTTATGATTCATTGATCCTAAAAGTATGATATATAAAGGAGAAAAAAAAATTAGGGAAGGGAATATACCTTCAAAGTAAAGGAAAACGCCATCTCTTCTACGCCACGGTTTTCTTTGACGAATCACTACAGCGGGCATAACTAAAAAAAAAAGAAAAAGTTTTACGAATCAAAATGAGGAAATTTAATCAGAAAGAAAAAAAAAAAATTTGATTCATAGATTTTCAAAAAAAAAAAATTAATATAATCAATCGAATCATACCTTTTTTCCTTAAATCCGGTTTGCCTTTCTTAACAGTGGCCATAACCATGTCACCGACACCAGCTGCAGGTAATCTATTCAATCGACCATGGATTCCTTTGACAGAGATAACATACAAATTTTTGGCTCCGGAATTATCAGCACAGTTCATGACCGCGCCAACCGGAAGACCCAAGGTCATTCGAAACTTGTTACCAGAAGCTAAAAAAAAAAAAATCGATGAAAATTAATGATCTAAATATTATATATAAAAAAAAGAATCAAGGAAAAAAAAAAATTTGTTTAAAATATTTACCACCGCCGCGTCCTTAATGGTGAAGAAAGATAATCGATTTTAATAATTGTAATAATAATAAAATGAACTGGTAAATAAAAAAAAACACACAACAAAAGATCTTGAAGCAAGAACAGCCCCAAAATGGTTTATAACAACACTCTTTTATAATAATCAATTCTTCGCAAACATTCTCTTAAACAAGTGAAGATATATCTACCTCTTTTGGACATTTTTAACTTATTAAAGTGGTGTTAGTAGGTGAAGAGGAAGTTCATCCAACCACCAAAAAAATCTTTTTTCTTATACTACGTAGATATCACGTGATAGATTAAAAAAAAGTCTTATCTCAAATTTCGATTGGTTTCCTTTTTTTTTTTTTTTTTTTCGAATTTGAAGTTTACCATTTCAGTAGTCTTTAAAATAAAAACTAATAACTATACTAAGTTACTGGTTTTGAAACACTATAAAACTCGCGCGATCCGCAAGTTTTCTATAGCTTATACCTCTAATCGCTCTTTGATTAAACGGGCCAATTGAAAGAAACGCGCCCAGTTTTTTTTTTTTTTTCTTTTTTTTAGAATGTTGACGGTAAATACGATATATTTTCATTTAAAATCAATGTAATTTTATAGTTGAAAATTTAACCCGAACTTGCATTTGCCAAAGAAGCCACCGCTTCCGTCATTTCGAAGGATGGGAGTACCACGTGTAATACCACGTAGACTTCACCTGCCATTCTTTATCCTCCGAGGTTCTAGCTTAGTACCCGCCAGCTATGGCGTTTTTTCATGTATCTTATCTGCGAGTTATGTTAACAAACGTGATGCAAGCAACATTTTAGAGTTGAGAAGCACCGAGTTGGACTATTGGTTGGGTGCCATGTGGGTAAGTAATTTAATACTTCTCGTTCAAAGTATTTTATACAAACAAAACCTGATAATCCATTCTTTGAGAATTACATGTATCAGCTTTATTTCTAATAAAACAAGTTTTCGAATCTTTATTATTTTATTTTCAAATTTTGAGTTGATTATCCGGTGTATTTTAATGGGGGTGTAAGAGACTGTTCCAATTCTCATTTCAATATCTGTACTCTGATTATTTCAAAGGGTTTAATTTCATATAATAAATCTTATTAATTTTGAAATTTCGATTGTTTCTCGGTTATAATTGGATTTTAATCAGTCTGCCGTAAAATTTGTAAATTTAGTCTGTTAAAAGATGATGGGATGGTTTTGTGGTTTAAAACCCTATGACTATAACCAATTTGATATTCGGTTTTCATTTCATTCTTTTTTTTTTTTTTCCTTCTTTTCTTTTTTACGTAAATACTTTTTAGTGCCTTTTAGCCGGTCTTTGGAGTTATTGGCTCGCAGATGGTCTCATGAATCGATGGCTCTTTTATTATGAAGTCGGCAGCACAATATTCCGTTTAATTTCTTTACAGGCTATTAATTGGGTTATTACAGCCTTCGTGATAACACATTATGGTCCAGATGAGCCAATTTGGTCATGGATGTTTTGTAGCGTTGTTTTAGCCATATGCGATGTGATTCAGTGGCTTTTTACCTCAACCACGAAATTTCAGAAGGATGAAGATCCAGGAAAAATAAGACAATTAATTTGGAAGGAAATATATCGTTATATATTCATACCTCTTGCAATATTTACATTTATTACAATGATTTGTCTTCTTGAAGAACAATCAAGATTCCGTTATAATCCTATCGAGCATACAAAATCCTACAAATTAAATACTAATCTGTCCCTAAGTGAAATACGTCCAGATTCAAATGTCAAAGTAATAATGATCGTACTATCATCGTGGACTGAAAGTGGATACAGGAAAAGACAAACCTTTCGTGATACAAGCGTAAAATTAATTCCTCAAAGTTCAAAAAACATTTCAATAACCTATCGCTTCGTTCTAGGTGATGCCCCATCAGCAAAATTGCAATTGAGCATGGCTCATAAGCTCCTTGATGAATCAAAAAGACATGGTGATCTCGTCATTGTACCCACATCGGATCATGATGATGACCTAAGCCACAAGGTCTATAAAGGATTTGAGTGGTCCAATCAATATTCCTTTGATTACATCGTGAAAACTGATGATGATATATTTGTACGTATGGATATCATAGCTCGTGAATTGGAAGAATCAGGACCCGATAAAAAATATTACTGGAGAGGCCTTGGATATTGGTATGTAATGTCTCATGTTCTAATGAATTGTTTATCGTTAACCAATTGATAATTATCTTTGAAATTATAAAATATTACAAAAATCAAATACCAAATACAAAAAAAAAAAAATCAAAAAAAATCAAAACAAAACAAAAAAAAAAAAATAGGAATATTCCACCAATTCGTAATGCAGAAAATAAATACGCAGATTTTGATTATAAACTTCCTATATTTCCACCATTTACAGCTGGAGTTCTTTATATATTATCACGTGATATAATCTCCTTGATTGTAATTGATGCACCTCGCTTTTTCACAAGGAACGATGGTCAAAATCTAGGTATATGGCTTTTTCCTTATAATATTAGACCAATTCATGATCGACGTATTCAACAAGTTGATGCTTGTGAGGATGACTTGATCGCTAAACATTTTAGTGATCAATTTGAGGAAGATCAAAGTATGAAAGACATGTATGAGAACGTTATTAATCACAAAAGGATGTGTGAAGGATTTAGACAACGCTTTTGTGCGTCGTGCTATCCCTGTTGGGGAAGAGAAGATCATTGGAAGGATTCGAATTTTGATTGTGATGATACGAAAGGCATCACTTTGCTTAATCAAACGCATTTAATCCTCGATAATTCGGTAGCCGTATTTGATGATCCCATCAATGTTACAATTGGAAGTATGGAAGATGAGTGGATTATTCCGAATCTCCTCTCACAACATTCTTCAGTTTATTCTCAAACAAATCTGTGGTATTTATTACATTGGGTATGTTGGACGACGGACCAAATGACTTTCCTAGAACGTCATTACAAGACCATAGAGCTCATTTGGATTCATACGCCTAAAGCTATAATTTTCGTCCTCACGACAACTTTACCACGTGATTTTTTTTCTGAATACCAAAAGCAAGGTTATCAAATCCACGTGATCAACCTCGACAAGGAATCGTTATTGGAACGACAATGGTTCCTTGGTCAGAATTCCAAAAACTGGCTACGTGATTGGAGTATGTGGGAAACTAATAAATTCTTCACCGATCATCTTACTGATTATATGCGATATTTGTTGTTGTATAAATATGGAGGCATGTTTATGGATATGGACGTTCTTTGGATACGTGCCCCTTCCGACACAAACATTGAATTCGTTGGATCGGATGTTTCAAATGTTCCTTCAGACATTGAATGGACGTTGGACGCGGACGGCACATACGTTGCACCTGGAGTTATGCGATTCCGAAAAGGCAGGTCCATGTTTAGAGAGATAATGGAACGATCTTTTTCTCCAACTTATTCACCGTCATGTTTTAATTGTGTTGGACATCGAGCAATAACAATGTACGTTAAAGAACATCGTAAAATTCTTGAGAGACATGGATTCACCATATTGCCTAGTCGGATCCTTTATCCAAGAAATGATGATCACGTTGGCGAACTTTTCAGACCGGATCATACTGCTCAAGAAGGGCTTTTGAGAATCGAAAATTTTTCATGGAGCATAAAATTATTTGGCAAAATGACGAATAATCAATTGATCGAAAATGATAGTTTAATTAGCTTAGTAATGAATAAATTTTCTTTAGACATTCCCCATTCATCAGCTCCATTAAAATCGGGTGGAGAACCGGATTTAAAGAATCGGGTATCATCATATCCATTTCTCTTGGAAGGACCAAAGAAATACCGGTTCGTATCTCCAACTATATCGCAAGGAGTGGATCAATATGCAGGATCTATAAATGGACAATTTCAAGGGCTAAATATTATTTTCATACGCGGTGGACCTGGTACAGTAGATCAGGCAACGATAAGAGTAAAGAGTTTGAATGGAAAGTGCTCTTTTAATTTACTAGGTGGGGAATGGAGCGAAACATCTGTGACAATTCATAATACAACAAAAAAAGACGTTAACGATATACTGAATGCTTTAGTATATCGTCCAAACGAAGTAGGTGGAAAGGATAACATTAGTTTAGAAATTGTATATGGAGAAGATAAAGCTGAATTAACGATTGATATTGAAATTCTCGTTTCGCAAGAATATAGATAGTATTTAATGAGGGTGGAAAAATAAATAGGTATATACAGTATATATTTCTTGTAAAAAAAAACCGTCGTTGAAAACCTTTTTTTTTTAAAAAAATATGTTGTTTGATGTTTGAGCATTACAAATAAAATAAATTTACATATAAAATAATAATTTATAAAATCCGAAACGCGTAAATTATAGGAATTTTCAGTTAAAATTTAAAATATCGGGATGATTTAATGTAAAAGTTCAAATTAAATCTAAAGTACATTTTTTATTGCTTCAAATATAGATACATCCATACTTAATAATAAGTACAATTTCCCCTTTTCTTTTTCTTTTTAAATAAAGAATTAAAGAAAATCCCATGAAATCGAGCAATTTATTTATTTTGAAGAACTTGCAGCTCCTTGAGTAATTTTGATTTGAATCACTTCAATTGTCACTAAAAAGTAATAACATTAAATTAAAAATAAATCATAAAATTGTTTGGATAATTGACGATCTAGCATTATTTCTTACTTTTCAAATTATTCTGTTTAGATGTAATCGTTTGTTGCAAGGTTTCAGAATTATTCTTTACAAATTCAACTTTTTCTGCATAAAATTTTAAAGCGTCATCTAAACCCTTTATTAATATGGAAATTTAATAATTATCAAATAAAGTAAATCAAAATCCTTGAATATGGAAAGTAAACCTTTTCAATGTAATAGCCGGTTCCAACATCTACTATTACTTTATCAGTATCAACCAATTCTCCTGGTACATAAAGGTATTTATTTTGTTAAGAAACATTTTAAATATGAGAATATCTCCTTTTCAATTATATACGTAAAAAAAAGGAAAGGATATTGATTGTGTTAATGGGACAAGAATGTCTTTTCCTGTATAATAAAAGGAAATCTGTTCAGAAAGTCAATTAATTGATAACAACATATAAATGATATAATTTGAATAATTTACCCGATTTCCCTCCTTTTATGGTTTCTACGCTAGCTATACAATCCTGAAAACGTGTTTGAACTTGTTTCAGTTGTCCGAATGACGAAGTCAAATGTGATAATTCCTAATAAAGATGATTACTGTTTGAATTCTTTTATGCAAAGAAAGAAATAGAAGAAAGAATCATAATCATTTTACCTCCTCTAATTGTTTCTTAACTTCAGATAATTGTGTCAAGTCCAAATCGGTTAATTCAATGGTCTGTTGTTTAGGTGCAACTGAAGTCGTCATAGTATCTTCCTTTCTCGCTAAAGAAGAAGGTGTTGATGGTATTGTAAACTGAAATGGTCGTTTCTTAGGTCTTAATTTTCCCATTTTATATTTTTTTTGATGTGTAGTACAAAGATTTTTTCTGTTACATGGATATGCGTGGTCCGGATGTCAAGTTTATCACTGTGATCACCGTGGTGACGTATATTTAAGATTTAACTTTTAACTTACAAGAATATCACGAAAATTGATTTGTTCGATCAAACAATCGCCATCAACAATCACAAAACATCAAAACACATTGTATATAGAAAGATTGGATCAATGATTTGCAAGGAATTTTTATGTATTTTTTCGCGATCTTTTGACAAATTCGAATTTAACATGATTGGGTCCGGAATTTCAATATCCGAAGAAGAAATAAAAGGCTAGATTAGCTACACATTATGTCGATCACTTCTCTAAATAACGTTAATAACTTTTGTGAACGACCATAAATAAAATCCGAATTGGTGATTTATTTGATTGTTGCTCTTTTTTCTTTCTTTTCACATTTTTCTTTAGTAAATTAATTTTCTCTCTTACCGAAATTTAATTATGACAGAAAATTGTGAAGATGATAAAAGTCATGTGATGTGTGTGTGTAAGCAATCAATATCGAAACTAGATTGGCAGGTTAGAAACTGAAAAATCATATTATATTATATCAAAATGCATTTTAAAGTGATGAATTACTTTTTTTTTCAGGATCATCAAATTGTATGCGCAAAAAGAAGATATATGTGTCCCGCATTTGCTGCCTTTATTAACTGTAACCCTGATAAAGGTTTATTACCACCATTGGTTGATTCAAATTGTCCTCTTTCATTAAAAGAAATCGCAAAATTACAAGTATTGGAAAGGTATCAATGACAAATTAGAATTTTTTTAACAAACATCGTTTCCCTTACCTTTTTTTTTTTTTTTCTATTTTAGCGAGAAATTCAGTCGAACGGAATGGTTGAAATCGAAAACCATTCCCTTTAAAATCATAAACACTTTAACAAGAGAATGTCCGATATTTGGAAGTAAACAAGAATTAATAAACCACATCGAGAAATCCTGTCCATATTGGAAAGTAAAATGCTTAGAGGTACCTAAAGCGCATTTTTGGAATTCTCATGATGATTGTTCATTTGACATGGAATTTTCAATCCAAGAATTCATATCTCACTCCAAAGAGTCGGTAATTTACTTTGTTCATTTAAAATATTTTGATTTCCTTCAAGTAAAAGATTTATTTTAAACTCACCTTTCACGGATTTAATTTAGGCACTTGATCCAATAAGTCAAAGAATTCGAGTAATTTCAAAGATATTTCCTTATTATTGTAAGAGATGTGATCACCATTTTCCATCTTCGGGTTCTCATATATGTATTAAAGAAACCAATTTTATGAATACACAAAATCAAGAGATATTATGTCCAAGTTGTAAATCAATAATCTCTGTAAATTCCTCCAAAGAAATTGAAAATACATGTGTAAATTGTAATAATAGGACAAAAGGATTTTATATGTTACATTATTAATTAAATGTTCTATATTTGGTAAAAAACTCGAGGACGTACAAAATGTACAAAAATATGGTAGTACTACTTTCTAATTTGATCTTTCAGGGTTATATTTAAGGATTTTTTGATTATCGAATTGTTTTTTGCCTGTATGTTGATTTCACAGAATTTATCAACTTAATTATTCGGTTTAACTTTTTTTTTTCCCGCCAATATTATAAATAAAATAAAAAAGTATTATACAGCATCTCACCACTAATATATTGTACGATTAATTTTTTAATTTTAATTTAATATTTACACCTTAAATACCCTTTACATTTTTCTTTTTTTGTAATTCTTTTTTTTTCAAATTTTTATTCATTTTTTATTTTTTTATTTTTACCTTCCTTTTTTTTTTAATTTATTTTATACGTTTTAAATAAATTAATAAATAATGTTAAAGTATGGTCTCAAATTTTTACAAGATAGAAAGAAAGAGGTAAGTTATCATAACAAAAGACGAGGAGGTGTTACCGTTACAAAGAACCTCTTTTTTTTTTCTCACCTTCTTTGTTCACATTAGAGAAAACGTTCGAACCAAGAAGTCAAACCGGAGTTACCTGCTTTTGAGTGGCAAGTAACCAGTGATACAAGTTTTGAAGATTGTTTGCCTTCAACTTCCTCCACAACTACGACAATTAATCCTTCCAACGATGAAATGTCTTGCAGTTCAGATGTAAATTGTAAATCTTCTTTGGTTAGATCATCAACGAATGTTGAATCTGGTAGAATAAGATTAATACAAATAATTAGTGATGAAGAAGCGAGAACAAAATTTCGAAATTATTTAGTTTCACAATATTGTGAAGAAAATTTAGATTTTTACATGGATATTGTAAAATTTCACTCTCATTTTAATAGTGAAGGTTCTTTAAACCTTCCTGAAATCATTTCATATGCCAATTATATATGGAATGAATATTTGGATCCTGAAACTTCCACAAAACCTTTAAATGTCCCTCAAGACCTTTTAAATAATTGTAAACAAAAAATTTCAAAGTTGTTTACCATCGATTTATTTGATAAACTTCAACAACATTGCTTTGATTTAATGTTACAAGATTCGTTACCGAAATTTACGCGTAATTCAATGGCCTTTTCTTCATCAGATTTACTACTTCCTCCTTCTCCTTCTTCTCCTACTTTTCTTCGTCCTCCTAATTTTGTTGGTGGTAACCTTAAACAACCTCCTTCTTTAAGGAAATCTATTTCCTCCGGCTCACTTCGTTCTAAATTGATCGCTTCAATGAAAACTGTTGCTGAACTACCACATACATCTAGTCCATTTGATATTTGTCACGTCACTCCTGTCACGCCCAACTCACCCAACTCACCCAACTCACCCACTTCTCCTACCTCCACCTCTCCCACTTCTCCTACCTCCACCTCCACCTCCACCTCTACCTCTCGCACCTCACCTACCTCCACATCTCCCACCTCACCTACTTCACCTACCGCCACGTCACCCACGTCACCTACCTCCACATCTCTCACAACTCCCATACCTTCTACACCTCCTCTTTCGCCACAACAATCGATTGTATTAACCCGTACTACATCGACCATATCCACTTCGACAACATCATCATTTACTTCTACGTCAACCACATCATCAATTCCAACAACTTCTACAACAGTTTCTACTCCATCGAGAACTGCAAGCGTTTCTAGTAACTCGGACATTATTTCAACATCTGCGGATAGCAGTAATAGTAGTTCAACAGTTTCAACGGTATCACCTACGACGGTAGTGAATGTTCAACAAAAGATGTCAATGGCATCAATTGTGTCTATAACAAGCATTACAAAAAAAATGTTATCACGTCGACGTCGTAATTCAACGAGTTCAAATTCTAGCAAATTTTCTGTGACAACTCTTTCATCAGTTTTCTATTTGAGCAGTATGGAGAAATTCATGGGCATGCCAGGTACATACCCTTGTACTTCGGTACCCAATAATACCACATTAAATGAAACTGATGAAATCGATGATTTGCCTTCATCTTCTAACCTTAGTAATGATGTAAGCACCTGGCAAAAACTTCGAAAAAATATTTCTACTCCTAATTTATCTCGTTCGATTTTGAGATCAAATACATTTAAAAGTTCCAACTTTTTTCATACTTGAAGAATAATATTTATAAAATTTGAAATAGAAGTATAAAATTTTCGGTGAATTCAAAAAAAAAAAAAAAAAAAACCAAACCAAAACAAAACAAATCAAAAAATTACCATCAAATCCACTCATCAATCCCACTCTTTAACTATTTAATTTATTCATTTGTAACCTCACTCTTATTATACATGCACATACATTGATTTTCTTCAACCCTATTTATTTATAAACATCACTTGTGGCTTTTCTTTTTTAGAGTTCTTAATGTATATTTTGTTATTTATTCAATTCCTTCACAATTCTTCAAAATAAATTTTATTTTCTGAAACTTTTTCGCTTTGTTTTACGCGATTTATTGACGCGATTATGTATAATTTAACGTCACGTATTCAGCTGCGGATCATGTCTCAAATGCATTTAAACTTTCTGATGATACGCATTGATCAACTAACCTTATTTCATGAAATAAAAATAAAACAGTTATTTATTATCTTAGTTGTATGACTCTCAGGTCATTATATTAAAATGGAAATTTCATTTTATTATGTGTAACGTTTTGATTATAAAAGTATGTAAAGAAAAGTTATCATTTAATAATAAATTTGTCTGCATATCGTTATTGACTTTGAAAAAAGAAACGTTTATCATTGGTCAAACAAAATATTTGATTAAAAAGCATGATTCCAATTAAAATTCCGTAAATCTCGACAATCATGTAAAAAAAGTGTGCTAATGTCGCGTCACTTTACAACAGTTAAAATAAAATGGTACAACAAATACATTCCGTTATAGTAAAAAAGACATTACTCCGTGACGTTTATTTATTACACGATTGTGCGAAATTTTATGTACCTGATTTTTTTTTAGACACACATACAATTATCGCATGACAGGATCATCAATAACTAATCAGCGTGTGAATAAAAGTTTTTCTGTATGAAAACTTTTAAATGTTTGCAATATTAATTTTAAACATTAACTCGTTTGTGAAACTCCCACTATTTATAAATTATCATTTTTAATTTATTATTATTAGAATTAATTTCTTTCGATTCATTTGTTAAAGCTAAATTAAAAATTTTATTAAGATGTAAATAAATCAAAAAATTTTAACCTTCTTTAGCTGTGGAGAATCCTTTGTTCTTTTTTTGTATTATAATTGTTATCAATATCGAATATGTTAATATCTGTTTCTTCAATACAAAAAATTTGTATCAATAAGTTTTATAAAACAAAAAAAAAAAAAAATTACGAAAATTTGGTCTATTACATATCTTGTTTTCTTTTAATATTATGTAAATTATCTATCAAAGTTTCCAAACTTCTACATTTTTATGTTAAGTTACTAATTCATTGAATCCCTTTAAATTCTAAATTTTGAAATTCTTGTAAAAGTAATTTACATTCAGTATAATTTGTAATCTTTCAGTTAATACAATCAATATCATACATTTTGCATATTTTATTTATAAAGTATTTTTTTAACCAATTTTGACTGATATAAATTTTCATATACCAGTATAAATCTAATATAATATAAATTAATTGTTAGTAAATAAATAAAAATAATTAAATAATTCTATAAAATAAATAAAATACATCGTTATATTCTTAAAGGTAAAAATATTTTAATTATTTAATTTTAATTTCTAATTTCTATTTGTTAACTTTAAAGTTCCGAACCGCAGACCGGTAAAAATCCGAACCGAACCGTAATTTCGGATTAATCCGAAATTACGGTTCGATTATATGCGAATCTTTGGAAAATCGCAAAAGATCGCGAATTTCTTCGAAGTTCGCAAAAAGTTTGCGATTCTTAAGAGTTTCGCGAACCTCTTAGAGATTTCGCGATCCTCCAAGAATTTCGCATATAATCGAACCGAATTTTCGGATTGATTTTTATGCAATCCGATCCGATCCGATCCGATCCGAAAAATCTTCGGATTAATCCGAATCGTTAGGAGCTTTAGTTAATTTATCTTAAATCCTCTATAATCATAATATACAGTCAACCCTCTCTAAATGCACCCTCTCTAAATGCACACACTATATATTTTCTCTCTAAATGCACGCTCTTATTCAGTCCCAAGTATATAGAATTCATATAAAAATTTTCTCTTTAAATGCACACCCTCTTTAAATGCACATTTTTTAAAATTTTCACTATG